GAAATTGCGGGAAACGGAACTCAAATAGGCACAAAAAAGTGCTAAGTATCTGATTAGCGGAGAAAAGCAGCAGAAAAGCAGCAGTCCGAAATGTTATAGAGAAAGATAACATAGTGGCTACTAGCTAGTAGCTAGCAGCCGGTGAGGGTCGGCATGGGCCTAAGGGGTGTCCATGGGCCTAATTAGTCAGCTTCTAGCGGAGTTCTTGCCGTTTTTCACATTTTGAAAGTAGCGCAGCCTCAAAAATCGCCTTCCGGATCGTCCGACACATTTGAGAGGTCATAGCCTTATTTTATCGCGGAATGTGCCTTTAAGTTGAGTGGTGATGCTCGAGAGGGCTGAAACCACCCTCACTGTTGAAATCTCTAAATTACCTAACATTTCTATGTAGATTAGGGGCTTTTCAATAAAAGAGCAGCATCAGTTTCAAACAGGAAGGCTGTTGGCAGTACGTGGGCAGGTCGCTCTGATTGATAGTTCGCTCATCATCACCAATCACAGCACGTACCACCACTCACATCCTCACAACCGGAACCGCACAACATGTGCTTGCATTTATTTCAACTTAACCAGGGCACGTCCTGCCGCTGGGGAGGAGAAAACTATTGGAAAATACGAACCCTCCCAATTTTCGTCCCCCCACCCTTCCCCATCTACTGAACTTTTCTTACTTTTCCCACCTTCCTACCATGTTTCCAGGATATTTCCCCAAGACTTTTCCAGTCCCCCCCCCCCCCTCCCCCAGAATTTTCTTCCAAACGTAGAGGTGGGGTATATGGCACATGTCAAACGGGGAAAACCACGAAAAGTTAACAATCGGGAAAAATTTCCTAACGCAGCAAGTATTTCTCAAAGGCAAATACGACCACCTTAGAAATTCTCCTGACGTAGATAGCGCCCATGAAACAGGAAAAATCAACTATCAAAACATTCTCCCAGACCAAATGCGACCGACCCCCCCTCCCCAGCGGCCAAATACGACCCCCTCCTCCGCTGGGGAATCCCGGCGTACGACGTGGTCTGAATTCAACTGTCCTACTGTACTTGATACTGCAGGTGATAATGAAACGCACTCCAAAAGTTAAAGCCCTCTTTCATCTGAACAAAAGAGCATCTCGACCACTCAACGTCATTGGGAAATCAGACGAAGCTCCACATCAATCAGTTTTTAGCGCAGAACACCTGAACGAAGAACCAATGATCCGGTAGCGCACGATACTATCTAAACCCTGGTAGGTTGACTTGTGGTCCCTTCTCCCAAGACGACGCCTCTTTACCTGTCCTCTCTCTGCCTCCAGCGCCTTATGAATGGACTATGGGATGGTAGGGGGGAGCAAGTCTCACGGTGAGGTCATGCAGCTAGACTGGGTTTTCGCGGCTCGGCGAGACCACTAGATTGCTGGGCCTACTTTCAGTATAAATCATTGATCCATGAGTTCTTTATCAACGGTTTTAATAGTGAAAAAAGTATTCTTGGAGCCTTTCGAGAATCCCTTTTTTAAGATAATTTGAAATTCTCTGGGTGATACTTTCAAAAACCTGTCTGGTCCTTATGCACCTTGTTAAAATGCTGTTATTTAGAAATCTAGTTGGGTAAAGCGATACTAGAGGATCACGGTAGGTTGTGCATTTTTACCGTCCATTGAGTGGGATATACCGCTTGCCGGTTGATGGTGGCCTAACCATTTGGTAGCCTTGCACGACTCCCATGGTAGGGGTTTCAGAAGGCATATAAAGAATATAAAGAAAATCCAGTCTAGCCATTTAGGTCTACGCTTGTATCCAGGAGGAGGACGGGTTGTAATGGCATACTTAACGGCGCGGGGCAAAGTCTCAAGAAAAACTGGTAGTTTCTGCCAGCGAAAAGATTCGTTGCTCTCCTTGAAATCTAATGGCTCTCAACTTATGAAAATGAACCGTCATCGAGACCTCTGTCCGCTGAACTGTGTCCGCAATTACGACCCATCCCACCGTGGGATACAGAGTGTATCCCTCAGACAGTCATCCTAAGAAAAGATGCTGCTGTCAAACACAAATCTCACAATCAGTCATATACAGCTTTATTAATTGAACAATCATACAGCTTCTCAGATTGTCGACAGCGATGTTCACTTCTCTTTCTCAATTCGCATTCAAGAGCGCATAAACAATTGGAAATATTACAGATAAACGAATGGCTTCTTCGGAAACGTTTGCATGTACGAAAGAAATCATTTTGCTTATGCTTCGCTTCCATCGTCACCTCCATCATCCATTGGCCCTACAAAATCAATTTCATTTAAACTCCAAATAATGATTCGAATTATGAGATAACGCCGACATTTCCACATGGACTAGGGGGAATGTTGGAGACGGGCAAGAGATCGTGAATTGCCGCTTAGTCGCGCGCGGCAATGGGCGCGACGTTTTTTTGATTTGCACTACCCTTTCGACTGGAGCATCGGATTTTATGTAGACAAGGACATGGTAGACACTTGTCTATTTTTGGTCATACATTGTCTATTCTCGACCAATACCACCTAAAATCCGTCATTAGCAGGCGCGACGTCGCACGCGACGCCCACTGGCGCGGCGAATTACGATTCTCTTGCCACATACCCGGGGAAAGTTAGAAAGAAAATGCGCCACCAGAAGCACCGAAAACATAGATGTAGATGTTTACTTACAATACTTTTCAAATTCTCTATTCTCTGTCATTCTTCACCCGTTTCCCCTAATTTGAACTTGCCTGTACTCATGTAAAAACTGCTATGGGATCAAGACTTGCCCATATTTCAGCATTCCTGTTAAGAGATTAAAGGCAGTTGGCACGATACTCTAGTATCGGCCAGTAAAGTTTCCGGCCTTAAATGCTAGTAGGGCGCTATATAGCGAGAAAATGGCGAAAGAACCGAGAGGTACATCACTGCGAAGAAAACGCCTTCGCCCTCAATGATTTAAAATCAATTTCGGACGAGTTTCCCATAGGCATCTTGCCAACCGCTACCGAAGATACGGCTGCATGTGTGTACTCATATATCATGCAGCACCGCGGCCGCTTCATACCAATCCCTTCGCTTCATAATTTGCTTAGCAAATGAATCAATACGAGCGTCAGGAACGGTCGTCCATTTGTGGGCGGGCGGGCGCGGAGCGTTCGGGTAGGTATGCTTGTAACTCAACTCGATAGAGCCCTTGGGAGTATCTTCCCTGGAAAGGGCGCTGCGCAGCGCCTCCCAGGAGCGCGGAATTTCGTCTTGCCAGGCGTGTTAATTGAGGGATTTATCTTGCCAACTGCCTTGAAAGCAATACAAGTCATAGACAGTACTTTGGCTTCGTATTTGAGCAACACTTAAAGGTGCGGTCCGCGATAAACAGCATTTGTAATGGTGCGAGAATTCGGAGCTGAATTTGCGAAGCGACACGTTTGTGGAGTAAAAATACCGATGGGATCGTCAGCAAGCCTTTTACAGAGCCCTTCAAGCTTCAAACAATCGGGTGTAAAAGGCCGAAAGATCGCATGTTGGAACGAGTCCAGTGAGCTGATTTTTAAGCAATGAACCCTAAGACCCATAGGAGACACATCCATTTCATGCTACTTCTGCCGTGACATAGCTTTTGGCTGGAAGGCCGACTTTGGAGGCGGAGTCTGGAGGCGGAGTTACTGGAAAAGGGTGGTACCACTGAAACGATTTTGCGCCTTAACTCCTCTACCTTAAAGTTTTCCGCCGCAAGACTGGAACAAGGTTATCCATTGCGCACTACACTACCCATCCCAGACGATCTTTGGCATTTCTATATGCATCGGGAACCTTTCCTCAATAGATTTTTGTAACAATCGGTGACAAACCTTCAATGTTCAGAGTAAGCTCCACATTAGCTTCACCGGCTTCATTCTTGATGTTACATGTGTAGGTTCCAGAATCCTTGGCTTTGTAGTTCTAGAAGAAAACTCGTAAAAAATGGCAAATTTTTGATCGATTACCAGATGTAGCCGACCTTGAGTTCCAGTTTAGCGGTGAAGGTATTGTTGGGCCCATCGGGTGAGGTAAGGAAACGGATCCTGGTAGATTCCTTCATTTTCTTTCCTTTCGGGTTAATCCACATTACCTAAAGTGACTTATTTAGTAGTGGCATTTCGAATTACTCGTATTCAAAACTTAAAAATAGCAAGAGAATTCCGACCTCAGGATTGCGATCGGCTTGGTATCCAATATCGAAGACAATGGCTGGATCTCCTGAATCAGATGTAACCTGCAAGATTTGCGGCTTTCGCGTGAACGTCGGGGCTCCTTGAGGAACTGAAAAGGACCATTTCGATCTTTTTTTTTCAGAGAAAATGAAATAATCGGGCTGATGATATCAGCATACCTTCGAATTTGACTGTAAAGGTAGCAGTGAGCTTTCCGGAGTCATTCTTGGCTGTGCAAATGAACTGACCAGCGTCCTTCTCTTTCGTCGGCTCCTATAAATCAATACAGCCCATATAGCGGAAGTACTTCTACTATAAACAGTATGCGAAGTACTGAAGCAACCAACCTTGATTTCCAATGCAGCATAGTAAATTTGGTTGGCCTCCTCCCTCAAAACGATATTCACACGGTCAGACTGCGCCACGATTTCATCTCCCTTCAATATTTGTTCTTCTACGGGATATGACATGGATTTGAATACTTGAAATTTTCCACAAAAAAAATGTGGACAAGCCGATAAAAATTGAGAAATCGAATTTCCGATATCACCTTGTGCCAGACAAATGTGGGTTTCAAGATCGATTTGGCTCGGAATTCCATAACCATAACCTGACCGTCATCTCGTGATGATATCTGGGGTTTCTCCACGAAAGTTGGGGAAGAGAAACCTAAAAAGCTACAAAATTAGTTCGACCTGAGATTCGGCAGTGGAAATTAAATAAATTTGCGAATGGAATTCGCGAATTTGCAAGATCCTCTCATGATTGGTGGTTGCCTAAGCCCACCAATCACGACTCAAGAAGCCACAGCTCCTCCTATTTTAGGCGATCAGTACGTGGTTGATCAAATAACGAACCCGTGAGCTTCAAGTTGAAGTTGGCATTTCCTTTTCCATGTGGATTAACGATAGCACAACGGTAGCCTCCTGCATCACTATCAGCGAGATCCTAAATTTGAGCGATGTATAGAATAAATGCACATCACGTTGTAAGCGACACATAAGACATAGCCATTTCTCCACTTTTTCTTTCTTCACATTTCACACCACATTCTTTCCCTCGCGGGCCCCACACACTAGTGTCAGCAGTCTCACCGATCGCGCTATGCATTACAAGCGTCAGCGAGAGGGCGGGATTAGCCGAAGTGTAAATAAAAATTTCGGTACAACATCGAAGGTTTCTGAGAAAATGCTGGCACTTTTTCCACATCGTCCAGAATTCCATGAATACTTTTAAAAATACAGCCGTAACTCATGGAATACATCGATTGACAACTCCGCAATTTTTCGTCAGTGCTCCAGTAGTTCGTAGTTTGGAAGTGGTGGAGGAAGCACAGGGTACGGGGTGAATGAACCACCTTGTAGATTTCCACTGCTCACAAATTACAACTAGTCCAAATAGTTCATATCCCGAGGATTTAGGCTGCTAAGCTGGCACAAAATTTCCAACTATTGAATCTTGCTTTTGTTTGCGAAAAGTGACTACATTCTCGCCAATAACTAGTACAGTGTAATTACAGATACTTTTGAGGCTCACCCAAATGAGTACCACACCAAATACTATCTACTCTGAAGCTGATCCCATACGGGGCACATCGTTGGGGTCCCCACCAGACTGGGTAGTTTGTTGGAAGGAGGGGGGGGGGCTCGTATTTGGTCTGGGAAAAGTTTTTAGTTGTTTTTCCTGTCCCACGGAGTCTACAGGGGAATATTTGCCTTCTGAGTGAACGTTGCGGCGTTGGGAAAAAATTTTCCCGGTTGCTGACTTTCCGCGCTTTTTCCTGTTTCATTTATGTTTATACACCTCCCCTGCTCGACAGCTCGGTCATGTCAAAGGAGGGAACTGGGGAGTAGGTTAGCAACAGGGGGGGGGGCGTACAGTAGACCGAAATCCATAACTGTAGATGTGCCTTGATGCCATGTGCACTACCAATGGCTGACCGGTCACACAGTGCTGATTCAGTCATGTGCACACATATCGATCGAGCTGCACACGTCCTGCAGCATATTTAAACGCTCTGAGCAGCTAGCAGTTACCGATTGATCTCTGTACGACCACCCTAGACCAGACGGCTGTCCCCCTGCCTTAGGTGAAGCCTCGGGAACTCATCTGTCACAAAGCAAGGGGAAAAGAATGGCGTCACCGCTATAAGGTGGGACATTTTATTGAAGAGCATCCAAGGCATTCGGGATCACAGCTTTAGAACAAAGGGTTCGGTTCCTTCACACCAAGTCTGATTCCCCTTTTAAGCTTGGGCAAAAATCTTGATCATTTGGATTCCAATCGTGTTCTCGGAATTCATAGCCTTAAAGACAGTTTCCGCGATCAAGTGGTCCGCAAAATGCCTCCGTGCATTTGGCATCGTTGTCCGCATTCGCAGAGAATATACCACTTTCGTCACTCAAAACGGCGAGATAAAGAAGCTAGAGACGCGTGATTATTGCAACCATTGCAACCATGATTACTTTCACTCTGCAAGACAACGGCTTACAAGCGGAATTCCGTGTGTACATAGCGTTGCCTTGGAGCGTTGTAGGGTGATTTCCTGTGCTCTTGCCGAAATTGGTTGCATGTCGGATCATGCTGGTTAGGCTTGTACGTCCCAAATCGTTCAGGCGCCGGTCCCACTACGAAGGGAGGGGGGGGGGGGGGGAAAGGGTACGTGTTTCGGGGTCTCCAAGGTTTTCTTCTCTACTGGGGAGTTAACTATGGGCTACTGGTTAATGATTGATCACCTACTACCCGTAACACTGGATCGCGAGATTTGTCTCCAAATGCTCCACCTTGCTGGTAAAGCGCCAGCGGAGCTGTATCCTCCAAAAAGTACGATCGTATGTTTCTAACACATTATCGACTGGATCGATTGGATACGAATGCTATGTTTTGCTGCGGGGTAAAGGCCCTTCTCGCTGTCTCAACCCAAAGCAATAGGAAAATCTCAAGGAAACCTTACCTTAATCTGGAGGATGGCGGAGTACGAGTCGTTTCCTTTGGAGTCTAGTTTGAACTGGAAGCGTGAGTCTTGCTTAACCTCCTTCTGAAAAAAGGATTTGTAGAAATACAACGTCGCTATGTGAAAGCAGAAGTAAAAAAATTTGTTTCTCCTGCCGACGGACCAAAGAGCTCAACTCTTTCAGGCTATCCTGGGGCGGCAATGGTTGTTACACATTTCTGCGGACCTTACACTCCAAACGCGTAGGTGAAATAAGATGCGAAATGGATATTATGCATGGGAAATATATGGCTGTATTCATGGCTCAATGGGCCATAAATACAGTATCTATATCCCTTCGCTTTCGAGTGTTCCAATCAGTTCAACTTGCTGGAAAACAGCAATGACTGACAAGCAAGTAGCTCAAAAGTAACCTCCAAGACTGATGTTACTCCACTATCGACGTATCATACCCGGTCTACCTCTTTCAGCAGTACTGCATCTTTATAAGAGGAAAAGCAGCACTCGAATAGCCGCCGTTGCGCGGCAAACGTACTGCAACAACTGTTCTCGAGCGATTTGGTGCAATGTTGCAGTAAAGATCGCACGGCTACGCTTTTAGCCCCGTACTAACAGCAATCTCGAGAGTTCCAGGCAGTGGTCAATTCCGAGGGCTCTAATTGGAGGATTCTTGCACCGCGTTGACCCACCCTGGCCAGGAACGTCAGAAATATGCATAGTTGCATTATCAAAACAACATGTAAAACTTTTAGCTGAACATGTGAAAGCATTCGGTGGCTCAGAATAAATGGTGAAGTCGTGCCACTTCCGGTGGTCGTATAGAAGCACGCTTCGGTGGTGACAGAAGCAAAACCCGTGACCTTTCTACAGACTTTTCTCATGCTCAGAACGATACCTTTGTAAATAGATGCAACTTTTTTATGTTACATGGGGAACTGTTCAGCAACATCCTTTCTATGGGTTTCACACCAGTCAGCGCTGACTCACTAAGTTCTCTTGACAATAGAATAGTTTGCAGTTCACGAACGTGCAACGGCAGGCACTTGCCACGGGAAAGACGTCAGACTTTCAATAATCGTGCGGTTACGTCCAGATGAAGACGTCACCTGCGGTTTACTTCTCTGACCTATACTCGAAATCCCTGAGATGTGGTAGGCGTGGCTGCGTGCTTCATCTGAACGTGGCCGTGGCTGCGCTTAGATATTTTCATTTTGGTAGAAATGTGGTCATGTCTCTGTTCAACGGTGAACAAAATGACATTTGTCTCAGACTGAAATATCTCACGAGTAACCCATTCTATGCCATGCCACGCCCACTATGTCTCAGGGATAAGGAGTGTAGCCCTTGCAATTTAAAGTTCTAACTGCGGTGAAAATGCCAGGGTACTACAAATTCCGTTCCACGTTATGTAAGTCGAAGGGCAGTGCAGAGAAGAGTTATAAAAACGAACGTTGTCATAGAACCACTTGATGTCGGGTTGTGGTGAAGCATCGAGGAAGCATTCCAGCTCAAGAGAGCCATCATCATTTTGTCGAGCCACTGGTTGCTGCGGGAAATGTGGCGCCTTGCCCTCCGGCATGATTCCTGGAATATACACAAGTTCGAAGGCTAAAAGGCTACGTACATTAGAATTAGTCGCAGGTAAGCACTATGGATAGGTAATAGAACTAAATTCACCGAGAGAGAATCAAAAATCCAAATAGAAAAATATCTATCTATTCTAAAACTAGTGATATTTGAGAATTTCTCTATGGCCAGAAGACGGAGGAAGGAATTCCAAACTAAGGTAGCAGGGATGTGGGCTGACCAGAAGCCATCGATTGATAAAGTACAAGAAACTCTATGACCGTAATCCCAGATCTGGCATGAGGGATGTTCATATTGTTGAGAGTTACATCGCCAACGAGGTCGAGATGAATGAAATGTATGAGACTGGAAGAAGGCGGAGGGGGAGTAGCCAGCCAGCCAGCCAGCCGACAACGCCCGCAGGCTCACGATGTGTAATGAACGGCACATCAGGAACAAAACGGTCTCAATACCTCTTCTGAAGTTAGATTTATCCCGAAATTAGCCCTATGTGGCCAACTGAGCGTGTTATGATTATAATGAAACATAATCTGGAGGTATAAAATCGAGACAAGAGATGGATTGGAGGGGGTTTTCAATGAAATCGGAGGATTGAGTAGAGCGCAGCTAGTCGAGTGTTGACATTTAATGTTTGGATACCCGCAAAAACTTGAAAGCTTCCTTCTAATCTCACTCGTAATCCAGTTATTTAACCATGAGATGGAACATATCAATCCAAACTTGTCAAAAAATCATCACAAATTACAAAATATCCACAATTATTATTAGAAATGATGAGAGCGATTAGACCTGTTTATCGAATTGTATCTACAACACTATCGACCTGGGTCTTAGTCTGCACTACAAAACTAGTATCTGAGGGACAAACTAGTTAGAGATGTGTGTGTTTTAACAACACCAGAACAATACCGTTCTCGTACGAGGACAACATCATAACGTACAGGTCGGTGTCTTTCATAGATGAGGTAGATGAATGAGGGGAAACATCGATGTTGTAAGGGACGACGTGAACCACACACACTCAAGTGAGGACATTGCTTGGGAGGGTGGGGAGATCGGCCCCGCGAGTCGCTGGATAGCCGCTGTTCACCAGAACGTTACAACGCTTTCGCCCACGCCCCATTGCAAATTATAGAAACAAGCGCGTGTTCGGCAACTGGTGTGTGTGTGTGCACATTTAACGAATAGAAATCAAAGGAACACCAAGGCATGTGAAGCGGATTGGTCGATACGATACTACTAAATGTATATAGTACGAATAGTAACTCTTTTACTTGAAATCCCGTCCACTATCAGATCGGCAAACTCGCGACAAAAGGACGCGACAAGCAACGAACAGCAAACATTTATATGCGACGGCGAACAGGACACACCAACGCAAAATCCACTTAATCATTCGTAATACTTTACTTTAACACTTTTAATACTTGTATACATATTCGCCACACTTCACACCTTACCATCCCTGGAATAGTTTCAGAAAGGAACCGGGGTTAGTTAATTAAAAAGTCAAAAAGGATAAAGCCCTAAGCGTTGTACAAAGAGCTCTGTGGGGTCGCGCCATGCGTTCTTCTTAAATTCTACATTGCAATCGCACTTGAATATGATTTGGCCTAAGTGGCTAAGTTCCGAAAGTCAAAAGCTACCAGCCAGACCCCCGCCCTCGAACGAAAATGGGTAGAAATAAACGATCCCGATGGAACGGAAGGCTTGGTCAACAGGGCACATTATTGGTCGGGGATTTGGTCAAGTCCATGCCGACGTCGAACCCCAAAATGTGGCTTGATACACCCCCCCCCCCTCTTAATATCTCTCCTGATATGATCGAGCTGTCGAGAGGGAGGTATACAGCACATGTGAAACGAGAAAGCATCATGAAAGGTCAACAACCGGGAAAACTGTTTCCGAACGCCGCAAATTTCTCTGAGAAGGCAATAAGGACTCATCGACCATTAAGAACTTTCTCAGACAAAATACAACCCCCTCCACCCACACCAATAGGGCACATCATCGTTGGGATTCCCCAACCTCCCCCTGTTGGGGAATCCCAACGATGATGTGCCCTATTGGTCAATCAGGGCGAGATTCAATCCGAGATTTGTTCCTAGAACTGAGCACATGGTAAGTGGCGCACTCGTAACCGCATCGTCTACGCCTCACTTGAACAATTCAGTTACTAACCAACCAACCAACTAACACAGAAAAATTCAAGATTGAAGAAAGTCAAAAAACCTTCGTGAACAATGAATGACGTCTGGGAGTCTTCGGGAATATCTCGAGGGCAAAAAAAAGTTTAGGAGACTGAAAGATGAGGATTTCGGATCAGGGAGCGAGACACCCCAAATAAAGGCGTTAAGGCTACTTTAGAAACTGAAATCACACAAATGTCGTCGAAGGTCTATCGTTTATCGAAAGGCTTCCCTATGAACACGGTATTTGCCATCAATTGCCACTACGCGGCTTCCGCTAAATCGAACAACTCTCTCTTTCACTAGTTTTTCAACAGACTATCGTTTGAAAGAGACTTTCGTACCAAGCGCTGTAGCTTGCCTATGTAGTGTTTTCAAAATTCAATACCACTATGTTCGTAAATTAATTTTTTCAAGTTTGCTTGAACACCTAGAACAAAAGAAGGAACGAATTTTCAAGTGATGCAAAGGTAGAGGGAGATCGCGTAGTAGAACGAGACGTAAGTCACTCGCAGTGCCAAGTCTTGAACCATTGAAAGCATAATGGGATAAAATTCCACTATGCCTTGAACGTAGACTGAAGCGGTGTAAGGTGCTGTTCTCCCGGTGGTTCAGTTCCCGTCTAATTCGGCCCTTCCATTCTTCTGAGCTCTCTCAAAATTGAGCCAGCTCGTTTGAGGGCGATAGGACTCATGTATAGCTTATCGCAAACTCGTCGCATGGGCCAAGAACGGGGAAGAACATTGTGAGGACCTCCCCAGTGTCTAGCACATATTAACTAGCCACATACTAGCATGACTACCAACGGCTAGGTAGCGTTCAGACTTCGATTTCTCTTAGAAGGCAAATACGACTCCCACCTCTCCCAGCGACGAGCAAATACGACCCCTAACCTTAGAGCGTGCGTGAAACAAGAAAAATCCACTGTCAAAAAATTCTGACCATTTACGACCTCATTCCGCCAGCGACCAAATACGATCCCTTCCTGTTGAGGAATCCTCAACGATGATGCGCCCTGTCCGCCTAGCCTTCTTTCTGTCAAACTCTGGATTTGGATTGCCCGGTAGCGTGTGGACCTTCAAATCTGCAACGAAAATGAACCTGTCTAACCCACTAATCATTAAACTACTTTATCGGCTGGCTGAAGTGATAACATGTGTCCCTCCGAATTCTTAAAGTAAACAAGAACAAATTCCGTTGTGCCTGATGTTCAGAAGTCGATGATGCTACGTAATTTTCACTTTACAATGCCCACCTCCTCCTACACTTTCGCCAACTGCTGTCACGGATGTCGGCGCAGCCCACTGCTTATGAAACGGTGATACGACGTAGTTCCCGACCTCAAAACTCGCTCAGTCCACCAAGTCAACACATCAACGAACAAACTCACAGGCAGAGGAAACATTGCCTCGCAGAATGATATGCGAACACATCAACATGCACAAGAAAAAGAGCGTGGTACAAGTGTATCAATCACTAACGAAAGTGTTTTCACATTCCCGGTGGTCCTGGACTTCCTGAGCTTTCGCGTTCTGGCAGAAACTCTTTTAAAGGCAAGTAAATCGATAAATGCTGAAGACGTGTGGGACTAATAGCCTAGCAGGACGGAATTCGGCACTCCTAAGCAGGCGCTGCGTGGCGCCCTTCTCAAGGAAGGTGCCCTTATAGCACCCTTGCTGCAACATACCAACCCGGACCCCACCGCGCCTGCCCACCCACAAATGGACGACAGGCTCGTATCGCTTCACTTGTGAGGCACAGTATGAAGCGAAGGGCTTTATATAAGCGAATGTGGTGCTGCAGGGGGGGCAAAAAAAGACACTTCGGCCGAGTCACATATCAGCAAAGTTTTCGCAGCCCAGACAGAAGACGTGGATACGAGTACCAGGGCGGAAGATACCCAAGATGTTCCTCGATAAGCAGGAGCAGGCTCTCGCCCATCACCTTCATGTACACCAAAATATGAAGCCATCTCCAATCGCAGCCTGACTGGAGAAGGCCTTTGGAATTCACGTCCATGAAAGCTACCTGGAGACTGGCACTCTTGATCTGGAAGACCTCCAACATCGAGCAGCTCCGACAACGTCGCTACGGTCCAGGATATCATCTTCCAGGATATCACCGTCGCTAAGGCGCGGGTTGATGGTATGGACCGGAAATTCCTGGAACGGGAAGACCGATATTTTCTCCGTGGACCCCGAACCGAAAGTGAACGCTGACGGTTACATCGACCAATTCGACAAGATATCTGCCTTCATGTCGTTGCTGTACCATCTCTCGTGAACTTCGTACTGGCTGACAGGATTGGGTGCCAGCACGTGGGATCGAAGGAACGTTGGAAAAACTCTCGCCTGCTTGGAATGGAAGATAGTTGAGCATCTGAAGAAGACGGAGTATCCGAGGTCACCTTACTCAAACTCTCTCGATTACCGGGTTCAGGGAGGAGCTCCAATCACAATTCAATAATGTGTAACTTATATCGCCTCGAAGGTCGAGGAAGAAAAGTGTCTTTTTTGACCCCTTATATATGTAGCCGTATCAGCCAGTATCTACCGTAGCGCTTACTGGCATGATACCGACGGAAAACTCGTCCAGAACTCTTGCTTTCTGCATCGTGTAGAACAAGGGGTTTTTTCGCAAGTTTCTTACCGTATCACCCCGCTTTTTCGTCATATTCCCTCTGAAGAGCACCCCGCTACCATTTTAGACCGAGTATAAATTGTCGTGAATTAATACTTTCATAATTATGCGTCATTAGAGGCTAGTTTAAGGAACTTGTAGGAGTTTGTCGCTAGTAGGTAAGATAGGATATAGATGATAGGAGACGGATAAACTAATCGATCCTAGAGTGCTACTTTTGGACTTCGGTCGATTATGAGATCAACGGATCATCACTAGGATGAGTTCAGCATGATTAGTCCATCTAGGATAGCAATCATCGATTACTTTTATAAATGTGGGATACGATGGCAAGCGTATTTTGGCTAGTATAAAAAACAAGATGCGTGTCAAATGACGTCATGCACTCTCCAGATTCAGAGAGGAATCTCCCTGTTGAAGACTGTGATCATAATAAAATCTTTTCCAGGTCGGTTCCTTTTCGGCATGTACGAACTTCAATAATCGATATGCATTTCGTGAACTGAAAATATTAAAAACATCCTAAAATTCCATGATCAGCTTTGACTGATCTCGGCATTATAAAATCGAATTTATTGAGGTTTGTTAGCCTCCTGAGACCGATACAGACGCTTTGTTATGCTCACATTCGAATTAAATTTTTCTGTTAAAAAGAACTAAAACCATATAATATTTTGTATATTGTATACATATTAAATATAAAATTGTGAAATTTTAGTTGAAAAAAATTATGTTACGACCAAATCAAATAATTGACTTTTTTCAAATTTTTTTTTCAATCGAAACATCAGAAA